GCCATCAGGTGAAACATGGAGACCAAAGGAGCTTCCCTGTGTGAGGCGGGTATGGAAGCCCAGAGCTCCAGGATGGTCACGCCTGCCCAATCAACCAGAAACAGGTTTGGGGAAACACTCATGACACGGATCTCCACAAGGTTTCTACCTGATGGACTGGGAAGTGTTCTTTGTTGAAGACATGGAGCCAGACCAACAAACATCTAGGCGTCTCAGAAACAGGGCAAACGAAGTAAGAAGGAGGACAGAGCAGAGGCCGGAGCCCAGGCAGGAAGCAGCACAATGCCACCGCCACGGGCATCCAGGGGCATCCAGGGAGGAGTGCCAAATGGGTGACTTGTCCAGAAAGGCCAGCATTCGAGTGACAGGGTTCTTTGCCATGTCCAGTTCCCAGCTTCTTCTTTAAGCCTGTGTCGGGCTGTGGCTTCATTTCTCAGAGAAGAGCCACAAGGATTCAGAACCATCTTCTTTGACGTCGGTCTGCTCCCTCCTGCAGGACAATGAGCTCCTGTGAGGCTCTTGGCCTTGGCTGGGGTGTGGTCGTCTTGATCCTAGAAAAGAGGCCACTCAGGATGGGGATGAGATTTCAATTCCTCGGGGTCGGGTGCATCTTCTCACTTCACCGAGGCCTTCACAAACCCAAAGTGGATCCTCTGGGAAAATGGTTAACAACCGGCCACAAGACCCAGGCAGAGACGCAGAAAGAGGCTCACCAAACACAGGCCTACATGGAAAAAATCGCCCTTTGGCGCACAGGGCACATTCGTCCCAACACACACATGCACATGGGCTCAGAGAAAGAGAAGCAGAAAGACTAAGAGAGACACTAAGAGAGAAAGAGTGACATTCATGCAGGTGGACACACCTCAGTGACAGAGAAACACTTACCTTCTGTCAGCCACTGTGGCTGCCAGTTTCTGTTTTCCACAAGAATGATTATCATGTAAGAGGGCAAACCAAGGGCCCACAGGCAGACCTGACCTTGATATCACGGTTGTCATGATTTGTTGGGAGGCTTACTCACACACCTGCGCAGGCTTGGTTCTGGGGTACCGTGCTGCTTCCCTGAGACTCTGCCTTTTTCATTCTGGTTGGCCCTCCGCTTTCTGATATCTGAAGACCATCCACTATGCTCTGGCTTAGCTGGTGCCCAAGCTGCAAGATAAAGTCCTTAATACTCGTCCTTTTTCTATCTTCAAGCAGAAGTGATTTCTTCCCATGACCACAAAAACTGTTAATGTGCCGTGTCACACCTAAAGCCCGTTGGCACTGGGTCTCACCCAAGGCCCACAGAAATTAATGCTTAGCTACCACTGATGTTTATTCTAGGTTCAATGGCTTTTTACTCAGCAGGTTATGTACCCTGCCAGAGTGTGTATTTCCCTTTAGGCAATGTGTTTTATTTCGGCCCATGGTGTATCTAGAAATGTCATCTGCTGCTTCATTTTACTGTGTCTGAGCTCTAGTCAAGTTGCAAGACAAAGTCCTTTTTACTCTCCCTTCTCCTTTCATCAAGGAGAAGTCAGGAATCTCTTCTGAAACTAAGTGCTGCCTGCCTCGTTTTGAGAGAGGAGTGATATGAAAATCTCTTGGCTGCTCCAGCTGGCGTGTCACTGGGTAACATGCAATCCTTTCCCAATGGCTGTGAGCACAGCACAGCACCAGGACTTGCCCAGGAATTTTAATTCTTGTGGCCTAGACTGCGTTTCAGGTTTATTTAGGACCCCAGAGTGCTTTAGCACACAGTAGTGAGGCTAGCTGAACCTCAGATTTCAACCACCGGATTGGATAATTTCTTTCTGGCTAGGGCTGTTCTAAATGCTCCCTCCACGGGCACTGGCTGAATTTTGCCCCATATTGCCCTCTGCTGTGACAGGCAGCACTGAGTTTCAATGCAAAGTCCCACCATTTTTGTACTGTCCCACCCTCAAGCACATAGATTCTCTGTCCTTGCCACATAGCCACTGCTGAGGGACGGGTAGGGGTGATGGCAGCAATTCAACACTGCCTTTCCTACCCTCCTTGGCGCCTGATTAAGTGATCAAGTACCCTGATCCAATCCACAGTAGACTGCTGTCCATTGTTGGAGGTTCTATTTTGCTGTCTTGTACCATCTCCCTCTCTTCATTTCTAGTATGAACAAATAGTTGTATACATTTCTTTGTAAGTCCAGATTCAGTTATATCTGACAAGTGTTCCCTGGAACTCTGTATTTCCACTTACATTTCTATATTTACATCACATTCCCTAGAATTCTGTTGTATTTTCACTCACATTTCTATATTCATATTTATCTCCCTTGAGATTTCCTCTTTGATGCCTGGGTTACTTAAAATTGTGTTTTATTTAAAAATAATTTTACATTACATGCCAACATCTCATGTACCCATTGTACCCACAAAATTTAAAAAGAAAATAAATTGAAAAGTTAAGTTTTCTGTTATCTTTCTGTTATTGATTTCTAGTTTGATTCCACTGTGGTCAGAGAACACACTATCATTTCAATTCTTTTGACTTTCTGGAGGTTTGATAAATGTGTCTAGAATGTGTTCTACCTTGGTATATGCCCTGTGGACACTTAGGATATCTATTCTGTGGTTGCTAGGTATTATGAAAATACCCATTAGAAATGGTGCTGGGAAACCTGGCTAGCCATCATGTTGGCCAGGCTGATCTTGAACCCTGGCCTCAGGTGATCTGCCTTCCTCAGCCTCCTGAAGTGCCAGGATTACAGGCATGAGCCACCGTGTGGAGCCTGGATGGATAATTTTGAATGATGAAAAGTTACTTTATCAATTTCTTCTAAGTGAAGTTCTTGCTATTTTTTAGTGTTACATGAGTCAAGAGTTCACATGTTACCAATAAAAAAAATCCCTTAAACACATAATTTCATCCCATTTCTCCTTTCTTATAATATAGTAGAGGCACTGATAAAGCCTAGTAAATAGTAGTTTTCTTCAAAGGATCAGATTTTGCTAAAAACCTGTGTTGTTTTTTATTGCATGATTTCAGCTTTCCATTAAGCCTTTCCTTTCATTCATTTGTGGTATTTGTTTATTATACCTTGCTGAGTAATCACTATTTAACTCAAAAAGTATTTGAGGCCCTACAACATTATAGGCACTGACCTAACTGCTGGGGATGCAGTGGTGATGTGAAACAAAGTGGTCTCAATCTTCTTGGTTTTATACACAGTTTAAAATATAGTTTATACATAGTTTCTATTGGTAACTGTTTTAGTTATTTCACAGGATTTAAAATATAGGTCTCATTATCATTCTAAATAGTCTGCAATTTCACTTCTTCTTTGCTCTTTAATCCAATAATGGTTTATATGTAGTACTAAATTTCCAAGAGGTAACAATCCACATGGCTATCTATTTGCTAGTTTCTGAGTTATAACTGTGGTGAAAAATAAATATGACACCCGGCTTTAGAAATTTGTTAGAGACAAATCATTTCTGAATGTCTTTTTAAAAATTGCTGAACAGCCGGGCGCGGTGGCTCAAGCCTGTAATCCCAGCACTTTGGGAGGCCCAGGGGGCGGAGGTTGTGGTGAGCCGAGATCGCGCCATTGCACTCCAGCCTGGGTAACAAGAGCGAAACTCTGTCTCAGGAAAAAAAAAAAATTGCTGAACATTCAACAACCCCACTTTCGCTAGTCACAAGGGTGTTACAGATTTTTTGATGTAGCATGTGAAATTAATAGTCATTCAAAACTTTATCTTCATTGTATTTTACTGTTTTTTTTTTTCAGAATTAACATTCTGATGTTAAATAAGACATAGAGATGACATATTTGTCTATAATCATTAAACTCTTATATCCTCTCATAAAACGGCTTAATACAAATACTAATGACAGTCACTAAGTCATGCAAATCTCAAATCATTCAACCTTTACAATCTAATGAATAAGATTAAACAAACAGGCCGGGCACAGTGGCTCACGCCTGTAATCCCAGCACTTTGGGAGGCCGAGGCGGGTGGATCACGAGGTCAAGAGATCGAGACCATCCTGGTCAACATGGTGAAACCCCGTCTCTACTAAAAATACAAAAAATTAGCTGGACATGGTGGCGTGTGGCTGTAATCCCAGTTACTCAGGAGGCTGAGGCAGGAGAATTGCCTGAACCCAGGAGGCAGAGGTTGCGGTGAGCAGAGATGGCGCCATTGCACTCTAGCCTGGGTAACAAGAGCAAAACTCCATCTCAAAAAAAAAAAAAAAAAAAAAAAAAGATTAAACTAACACAGATTTAAGACTTTCCAAAAAAATATAGAGGTAGGACATATTGAAACAAGACATATCAAATAGATTTTATGACATAGTTCAAGGCTTTTCTAGATTACATTATTTTTGTGGAAATACAACAAAATTTTGCTAGTGATGAAAGATTTCCAACATGAATTAGAATAAATTCTTGTGAGTTTTTTGTTTGGTTGTTTGGAGACAAGAGTCTCACTCTGTCACCTAGGCTGAGGTGCAATGACACAATCTTGGCTCACTGCAATCCCTGCCGCCTGGATTCAAGCAATTCTTGTACCTCAGCCTCCCGAGTAGCTGGAGCTACAGGCACTCACCACCACACCCAGCCAATTTTTATATTTTTAGTAGAGACAGGGTTTCACCATGTTGGTCAGGCTAGTCTCAAATTCCTGACATCAGGTGATCCACCTGCCTCCGCCTCCCAAAGCACTGGGGTTACAGGTGTCAGCCACTGTGACTGGCTGAATTATATATAAATTCTTTATGCAACATCTCTGATGAGAATGTTTTGAATATGATTCAAAGAGAATTCATGCTATCATATAAAATTTTACCCTGATATTCCATAATTGATAACTGATCAGTAATTTCTTTCCTATATTGATTGCATGATGAATTCTCTGCTGCTGCTGCTGCTGCTGCTAGATATATACCCTGTCAAAATGCTTCCAATATTACTTACATTTGTAGGGTTCCACAAGAGAAAAAAATAAACAAAATTAATGGGTTATGAATAAAGCCTTTCCTACACTTGTATATAATAATATGTCACAAGAGTGAAATGAAGTGAGAGCTTGAAGAAAATGCTTTCTCAAAATCTTTAAATTCATAGGATTTCTCAAAAGTGTAAATATTCTGGTGTTGAGCAAAGTTTGAATCATGACAAAAGGTGTTCCCATAGTCTGTCCATTCACAGAGATTTGTACCATTATCAATTTTTTGTTCAGCAAAATATGAATGGTGACTAAAGATGTGGCTACTTTTCTTGCATCCATAGGGTTGTCCATCAGTGTGAATTCTCCTATGTCGTGTAAGCTGTGAACCCCAGATAAAAGATTTCCCACATTCTTTACATACATAAGGTTCCTCACCAGTATGCATTCTCTGATGTCGAGTAAGTTGTGAGCCCCAGAGAAAGGCTTTTCCACATTCTTCACATTCATATGGCCTCTTTCCAGTATGAATTTTCTGATGTCGATTAAGTTCTGAACCACGAAAAAAGGTCTTTCCACATTCCTTACATTCATAGTTTCTCTCACCAGTATGAATTTTCTGATGTCGATTAAACTCTGAGCCATGAGGAAAGGTCTTTCCACATTCTTTACATTCATAGGATTTCCTCTCATTATGAATTTTCTCATGTTGAGCAAGGTATGAAGCCCAAGTAAAAGTCTTCCCACATTGCTTACATTCATAAGGTTTCCTACCAGTATGAATTCGCTGATGTCGAGCAAGGTGTGAGCTCCAGATATAGGCTTTCCCACATTTCTCACATTTGTAAGGTTTCCTACCAACATGAACATTCTGATGTTGAGCAAGATTTGAACCACGAATAAAGGCTTTTCCACATTCCTTACACTCATGAAATTTCTCACCAGTATGAATTCTCTGATGCTGAGTTAGGTGTGACCCACGAGTAAAAGCTTTCCCACACTCCTTACATTCATAAGGTTTTTCACCAGTGTGAATTCTCTGATGTTTAATAAGATGCGATCGCTGACTAAAGGCCTTTCTACATTCACTACATTCATAGGGTTTTTCACCGGTATGAATTCTCTGATGTCGAGTAAGATCTGAGCCACAACTAAAGGCCTTCCCACATTCCTTACATTCGTAAGATTTCTCACCAGTATGAATTCGCTTATGGACACTAAGTTGTGAATGAAATCTAAAGGCCTTTCCACATTCCTTACATTTAAAAGGTTTCTCTCCGGTATGAATTCTCTTATGACCAGTAAGACTCGAACGTAAACTAAAAGACTTCCCACATTCTTTACATTCATATGCTTTTTTAACAGTGTCAACTGTCTGATATTGAGTAACCTCTGAATCAGGAAGAAAGGTATTTCCACATTCTTTATCTTCACAGAATTTCTCACTTGTGTGAATTAACTGATGTTGAGTACGATCTGAGCAAGAAATAAAGGCTTTCCCCAATTCTTTAAATTCATTCAGTTTGTCTCCTGTGTTAAGTCTCTGGTGTAGATTAAAGGCTGTGTGTTGGTTAAAAGCGGGCATTTTAACATAGGTGAGTATCCCCTGCTTGAAACATTCCTCTTGATTATCTTGTAGTGTCTGAAACTGAACATTGCCTTCCCAATCACCTCTAAAACACAAACATTCAAGGCTGTGTTTTTTACAAATTTTCCTTATTTCCAGTTGGGCTATTTCTCTCTCAAAAATGCCATTTTTTGGTAATAACTTCTTGATCGGACACTTGGATCGCATGTCTGAAAAATAAGAAGGTAAAAACATACTGTTTTACATACAAAAAAATAAATTTTTTTTTTATTTTTTATTTTTTTAAAGACAGGGTTTCACCATATTGGTCAGGCTGGTCTTGAACTCCCGACCTCAGGTGATCCGCCCGCCTTGGCCTCCAAAGTGCTTGGATTACAGGCGTGAGCTACCACACCCAGCCAAAATAAAACTTCTAAAAGAGATACAGAAAATCTTGAAATAGATCATATCAGAAGTGAGTGGCTTAAAAAATTCTCAAATATGAGAAATATGAAAAAAAGGCAAGAAGTAAATAGAAATTTAAAAGAAATGATACAAATTGAGTCAAGTGATGATAAGTATATTTTATTTTGATCATATTCATCTGAGGAGCTTAATAAAAAATGATTATCCAGGTATCACCTTAGCAACAGAGTAACAACTCAGAAAATATCTACAAGTTTGTAAGTACTATGATGAATGTCTTATATAATCCAGAGCTTAAAAATAGGAATGCTGGGAAATAGAAGAGCAACAGTCTAATACGCGGGAAGCAATCTCATCCAGAGTTACCAAAGTACTAGGATCTCAATAACAGGGTATGATGCATTTAGGTTAAAGGAGATAATGATGGGTGATAGTTCAGACAGAAAAATAGTTTGAAGGCCACATACAATGATTCACACCTGTAATCCCAGCATTTCAGAAGGCTGAGGCAGATGGATTGCTTGAGTCTAGAAGTTTGAGACCAGCTTAGGCAACATGGGAAAACACCATCTCTTAAAAAAATTACCTAGGAGTAGTGGTGCATGCCTGTGCTCCCAGCTACTTGGAAGGCTGAAGAGGCAGGATCACCTGAGCCTAGGAGGTCAAGGCTGCAGTGAGCCTGTAATGATCACATCACTGCACTCCACCACGGGTGACAGAGTAAGTCCCTGTCTTAACAACAACAACAACAACAACAACAACAACAACAACAACAACAACAAAATAGTTTGAGAAATTTTTTCAAGGGAGAAGGAGTCTGGCACAAGCTAAGAATAATAGGCCTTTTCTGTGACTCATTTTTCTATATGTATTTAGGATCAAGTACAATTGTTATATGATTGTGGTATTAATTTTTCTTGGGAGACAGAGCAAGTACTCTATCAATGACTGAATGAACTGAAAGGTAGTTTAGTTACAAAGTATGAATAGTAATGTATGGCAATGGAAAGACAACAAACTGCAGTTTCAGACTCCAGTTCTATTTACTCAAAGCACTTTTTAGGTGATTGGAAAATTACTGAGCTTGACTGTATTTTCCACATTATAGAAAGGAATAAAACATCACTTTGCAGAGGTCTGTTGCAAGGAATAATATGCTACCTCTATTAACTGCCTTACATAGGATAGATGTTGAATAATCAGTAGATGATGATTACTGTGTGTTAGAGAAGAAAAGCTGGAGAATACAGGGAACTAGACAAGCCAGGGTTTGTCTTTTTTTGTTGTTTTTTGGTTTTTGGTTTTTTTTGAGATGGAGTCTTGCTCTGTCACCCAGGTTGGACTGCAGTGGCGTGATCTTGGCTCACTGCAACCTCCGCCTCCCAGGTTCAAGCGATTCTCCTGCCTCAGCCTCCTGAGTAGCACGGTTTACAGGTGCATGCCACCACATCTGGTTAATTTTTGTATTTTTAGTAGAGACAGGGTTTCGTCATGTTGACCAGGCTGGTTTTCAATTCCTGACCTCAGGTAATCTGCCCACCTCGGCTTCCTAAAATGCTGGGATTGCAGGCGTTAGCCACTGCTCCTTGCTGGACTTGTTTTTTATGACACCATGTTCTCCTAGTTGTACTTCATGAGCCCTAACCTTTCTTCTGCCACTTCTTTCTCACTGTGACCAGAAACTGTTTTCACCTATTACTGTAATTTTCTTTTTTTTTTTTAGACGGAGTTTCGCTCTTGTTACCCAGGCTGGAGTGCAATGGCGACATCTCGGCTCACCGCAACCTCCGCCTCCTGGGTTCAGGCAATTCTCCTGCCTCAGCCTCCTGAGTAGCTGGGATTATAGGCACACGCCACCATGCCCAGCTAATTTTTTGTATTTTTTAGTAGAGATGGGGTTTCACCATGTTGACCAGGTTGGTCTCGATCTCTCGACCTTGTGATCCACCCACCTCGGCCTCCCAAAGTGCTGGGATTACAGGCTTGAGCCACCGCGCCCAGCTGTAATTTTCAACTAAGCAGCCTATTAGGTCCTCTCTTAATGTAGAGCCCTTTATGCAGAAATGTATGGCCATGTTCCAGTCACAGAAGAGAACAAAAAGTTTCTTAAGAGATTATATATTCTGTGTTAATTCTTCTAAACCTAAAATGAGAAAATCCATAAGTGTTGGTTAAAAGAATAAACTAATGAACGTAGGCAAGGTACAAGCAAGGAGAAGCCAGGAAAGATGAGAAAAATTCAAAAGGGATGGGTAAAAAAGGCTTTGTTTTGTTTTTACCAAAAGAAGAATTTTATGAATATCTAAATTAAAAAAAAAGAGAGAGAGAGATGGAAAGGAACCTGATCCAAATCATAGATAAAATAAGGGCCACTGGAGAAAAGAATGGCACTTACCTTTTTGTTACATGAGTGAAAAAATGAGAGCACAAAAACAGAGTGTTATTTGGAGTGAAGAGAAAATTCTTTTGGAAAAGGTTTTGTCTCTATCTAGGTCTCAGGCCTTTATCAAAGTTTTTTGGTATTGGTTGTTGTTTTTTTTTGAGATGGAATCTTGCTCTGTCACCCAGGATGGAGTGCAGTGGCATGATCTTGGCTCACTGCAACTTCTGCCTCCCATGTTCAAGCGATTCTGCTGCTTCAGCCTCCCAAATAGCTGGGACTACAGGTGTGTGTCACCACGCCAGCTAATTTCTGTATTTTCAGTAGAGACAGGGTTTCACCATGTTGGCTAGGTTGGTCTTGAACTCCTGACCTCAGGTGATCTACTCGCTTTGGCCTCCCAGAGTGCTGTGATTACAGGTGTGAGCCACTGCACCCAGCCAGTTTTTGGTCTTGGTCTTTTTTTTTTTTGAGATGGGTCTCGCTCTGTCAACTAGGCTAGAGTGTAGTGGCACAATCACAGCTCACTGAAACCTCCGCCTCCCAGGTTCAAGCAATTCTCCTGCCTCAGCCTCCCAAGTGGCTGGGACTATAGGCATGCGCTGCCATGCTCGGCTAATATTTTATATATATTTTTTCAGTAGAAATGGGGTTCCACCACATTGCCCAGACTGGCCTTGGAACTCCTGAACTCAGGCAATCCGCCCACCTCGGTCTCCCAAAGTCTAGGATTGCAGGTGTGAGCCACTATGCCTGTCTCAGTTTTTGTTCTTAAAGGGATATACCAGACCGGTATTTCAGAGGTGTTGCTGCCTCATTATGCAGCTGAGCTGTTATCCACAATGATGGCCTCCTTGTGCCCGTTCAGCCCTCACTCACCTGGGCAACGTCCTCTTGTCTCATTCCTCAAAATCTTCCAGGGCTCTTTCCCTTTCTCCAATGAAGAGAACACATCTGGCTGATAAATGCAAAGACCTGCCCAGAAGATAAGAAACAGCAAAAAACCACATGGTAAAGATTCTAAAATTTGCAACTAGTTCCTTGGTTATTAAGGAAGAGAAACAATTAAGGGCAGAAATAAGTCACAAAGGATGGGAAAGATGGAGGTGCCCACTGATGACAACTATTGCTAGATTTACAAAGCACAAACCATTTCCCCAAAAACAAAGGTCGGAAGTTACCCTTTGTGTTTTAAAACACAATAAAAAAACTTCACAATACAGAAAGCCCAAATTTCTAAGGACAAATGCTGAATCTTACCCAGTGAAACCATGTTGCTGTAGTTCTCCAACATCACATCTCTATATAAATCCCTCTGTTTCAGGTCCAGGCCCTCCCACTCCTCCTGAGAGAAATCTATAACCACGTCCCTGAACATCAACTGTTGAAAGAACAAGTCCAAATATTAATGCTGAAATTTTAAAAAATAATATCCCCTTTTAGATCAAAGGGGAAAAGCTGGAAAGGGGCACTGCAGGGAGTGGGGCATATACCGGGCAAAAACTGGAGTTGGCTGCCTGTGGTTTTGGGGGAAATGACATGGGAGGGAATAAGGGTGACTAAAGCGGAGTGCCTACATGTTCCTTTGTTTTTGTTCTTTTCGAGATATACTTGCTCTGTCACCCAGGCTGAAGTACAGTGGTGTAATCTCAACTCACTGCAACCTCTGCCTCCCAGGTTCAAGTGATTCTTGTGCCCCAGCCACCCTAACAGCTGGGATTACAGGTGCACACCATTGCACCCAGCTAATATTTTTCTGTTTTTAGTAGAGAGGGGGTTTTGCAGCGTTGGCCAGGCTGGTCTCGAACTCCTGACCACAAGTGATCTGCCCGCCTTGGCCTCCCAAAGTCCTAATGAGCCACTGCACCTGGCCTACATGCTCTTAAAAACTCCTGTTGCTCAGTCACCACATCTTTACGATCTTCAAATCACAAATACCAAAACATCAGAATGGCAGCCCAGAATAACAGGTATTATATGAGGTTTCTGTGGATACCACTGAGAGGCTACACCAGCCGTGAAGAACTAAACCCAGATTTATTATGTGAGAAAAGTTGGGGGTGTTGTTGCTCGTAAGCAGTCTTTACTGGACACAAACAGACTTGTGCACACAGAGTCTTTGGCCAAGGTAACTATTCTTTGCTTATGCTGCTATGTTTAGTTGAGTTTTTTGTTAATTTAAATTGAGAGAATTTTCAAGAGATACACTCTCTGACTGAACATTATTTTCTGCGGAAAATGTGTAGAATCTCCAGGTTCTTAGCTAAGCAGCTGACAATCAGCAAGTTCAGTGCCATAAGTGATGAATGTGAAAGTCATCATGAGTTTTTTGTCAATAACACTAAGAGGCTATATCAGCCTGGAATAACTAATCCCAGATTGTTTTATTTTGTTTTGTTCTTGATTTTGTTTTTGTTTTTGAGACAGAGTCTTGCACCATTGCCTGGGCTAGAGTGCTGTGGCACAATCTCAGCTCACTGCAACCTCCATCTTCCAGTCCAAGTGATCCTCCTGCCTCAGCCTCCGGAGTAGCTGGAACTATAGGCATCTGCCACCACACCTGGCTAAGTTTTTTGTATTTTTTTTTTAAGCAAAGACGGGGTTTCACTATGTTGGCCAGGCTGGTCTCAAACCCCCGACCTTGTGATCCGCCCACCTTGGTCTCCCAAAGTGCTGGGATTACAGGTGTAAGCCACCATGCCCAGCGTCGGATTGTTATTGATACTAATCTCTCATTAATTTCCTGGAAAACCCCAGATCTCTGTGAACTCAACCTCCCAGGAAAGCATCACAAAGTGCCACATACCTAAATGAATACCAACAAACTCCAACTCCCGTGTTGATTAAATATTCCATTCTACAGAGTAAATAAAAGCCTTTATGTAGTATGTCCCCTTTAATTACTCTATCCCATCTTGTTAAGCCACAGGTTTGAAACAAAAGTCTTTACAGTTCCCCTTAAGGAAATGTATTTATCTTCTTCAGTGCTCTGCCAGATTGGGACACAGGAGATACTGAAAGCCCTAGTGGATAGATTTGTTCATACTGGTTGGAGAAAAGATGGATATCTAGGGAAAACACTGGACTATTTCACAATCATCACTTACGATGCTCAACAGTGATTCAGGCAAGCAGTTTAAGGATAAGCAATAAAAAATATTCACATGATGTGATATAAATGGGTTATATTTTTGAAGAGAGGCAATTACAACTCACATGGGCCATGACTTAACATTTCAAGTCCACCAGTCCTCCTTTTGATTCTTCTCCTGGTGAAGCAGTGTGCTGAGAAAGCAGAGCTAGAAGGAAAGAAACATGAGGTCAGGGCTTTCTCAGAGCTTTCAAATAGACAAATAGAATGCCATTTTCTTCCTTGGATGCAGGTCAGAAGGAATCAATCTGAAGAAATCCTGGCCCTCTCCAAAACCAGAGAGATGCAACAAAAGTAGGGTGAAGTTTCAGTCTAATTATTTATGCCCAAATCATGACATGGATCAGGATACTACTAAATAAGTCAATTCTGGCTTGCCCCAAATTCATATACATATACATTAACCTTTATCCTCAACCCACTTATGAATGTCAGTTACTTGTCTCATTTAAAAGATCAGGAAATGGGTCACTTGCTCAAATTCACTATTAGAAAATATCATAGGTTTGCTGAATGCAAAGCTTGTTCACTTTGAATACTGTATTTTACCCTCTGGATTTCAGGATTTCTTATTTTACTGAGTGAAGGATAAGCTGGGCCTTTCCCTTATAGGAGTAGCCATGATCTCTGCCTCCTATGTTTTCACTGACACAAAGCATCAGGATGGCTTTTTCATGAAAGGAACTCAAAGTTAAGGGAAGGCTGTGTTGGGCAAGTAGTCAGTTTTTTGTGAAGCAAGTTTTGTTTTGTTTTTTTTTTGAGACGGGACCATGTTGGCCAGGATGGTCTCGATCTCTTGACCTTGTAATCCACCCATCTTGGCCTCCCAAAGTGCTGGGATTACAGGTGTGAGCCACCGTGCCCGGCTGAAGCAAGTACTTTTATTAAAAAAAATATATTGGCTCTTTTCCTGCTGCTTCTGAGTCATGAGGAGGCAGAGGCTCGGTTGCGTCCAAGATTCAGCTTCACCTGTAACCCACTGCCAGGGCCGAGGAAGGCATTGCTGCTGGAGGTGTAATGAACGTTAATACTGCTTTACAAGAGGTGCTGAAGACCGGACTCATCCACGATGGCCTAGCACGTGGAATTCATGAACCTGCCAAAGCCTTAGACAAGCGCCAAGCCCATCTTTGTGTGCTTGCATCCAACTGTGATGAGCCTATGTATGTCAAGTTGGTGGAGGCCCTTTGTGCTGAACACCAAATCAACCTCATTAAGGTTGATGATAACAAGAAACTAGGGGAATGGGCTGGCCTCTGTAAAACTGACAGAGAGGGCAAGTCCTGTAAAGTGGTTGGTTGCAGTTGTGTAGTATTTAAGGACTATGGCAAGGAGTCTCAGGCCAAGGATGTCATCAAAGAGTCCTTCAAATGCAAGAAATGAAGAAATAAATCTTACACACACACACACACACACACACACACACACACACAAGCCTCTCTGAATCTAGCTTTGTGCTTAGCACAGGGGAATTAGACCTACTGTCAAGGAATTCACAGTCAGAAAAGTAAAGAACAATTACAGTACTGTAGGAAATAAAGGTGATCATGGTTATAAAAGGAACCAACTAGTTCTAAAGAGCCCAAACCAAAACTAGTTTGTAAGAGAAAATTTCCTATAAGAGACGGTACTTCAGTTGACCCTTGAGGGGCTGTTTCATGTGGGAAACACACAAGGGGAGAAGAAAAGACACATACATAATACCTTTAAGGGTAAACAACATTTATCCCACATAAATGGCCATGCAGATATAATAAGCAAATGATATAATAAGCACATTGCAGTGGGAAGGGGAGAAGGGACTCACCAGACTATAGAGGATTCACCACCAGACCAGGAAGCAAGAGCTTGGGCTCCAGAGTTGGCCACCCATCCATGCCCAGACGCGGAGAGGTCTCATGATGCTTCGGCACTGTCTGGGACCTTAGCTCTTTCTCTAACAAGTTGTTTGGACCCTTCCCGAATGGGCTCAATGAACACAAAAAGGTCAACCTGTTTCGCAATCGTCTATTGCTTTTCAATAACTAACGTATAAGAATAGATTGAGGCTGGGCGCGGTGGCTCAAGCCTGTAATCCCAGCACTTTGGGAGGCTGAGGCGGGTGGATCACGAGGTCGAGAGATCGAGACCATCCTGGTCAACATGGTGAAACCCCGTCTCTACCAAAAATACAAAAAATTAGCTGGGCATGGTGGCACGTGCCTGTAATCCCAGCTACTCAGGAGGCTGAGGCAGGGGAATTGCCTGAGCCCAGGAGGCGGAGGTTGCGGTGAGCCGAGATCGTGCCATTGCACTCCAGCCTGGGTAACAAGAGCGAAACTCCGTCTCAAAAAAAAAAAAAAAAAAAAAAAAAGAATAGATTGAAACAGAGATTTCTCCAAAACAGCGCTGCATGAATGCTTCAAGGGGCTCACACGACCTGTTCCGGGACTTGGTGACCACTGTTTGTGGTCCATGTTCAATTGAGTACAAATTTAATATTTGACTTTTCCTCCACAGGGCCTCACTAGAGAAGACAGGGCAAGGGGAGGGGAATCTCCTAGCAGAGGAAACAACATGTGCCAATCAAGCAAAGATAATCTTTGTGCATTCAAGGAACAGAGTGAGAGGAAAGACTAGTGGCAGATGGGGATGTATAAAGCAGGGATCCTGTTAGGAAAAGCCCTAAAAAATAGGCTATGGAGTTTGGGACTTATTTCATAAGTAATAAGAAAGCATTCTGCATTTTTAAAGTAAGGTTTAAAACTGTTTCTAATTAGAGATACAACAAAATTGGTGTGAGAGGGTAGAGGGAAGACTGATACACACAATCTGAGGGGTTCATTAAAACTCCATGCAAAGCATGTAGTATGAATTGGTCCTAGGAGACAGAGAGTTTCAGTGGCATAGAAGACTTGAAGCACTTTTCCAAGAAGAGTGAAGGGTTGGAGAATAAACTGTGGACTAAAACATATTTTGTGTTTGAGAGCATAAAGAATTTGAGAGTGACTATTACACAGTTTTAAGGAAAAAAAAAAAACTAGTTCATTTAAATAATTAACGAAAATTTTTAGAGACAGGGTCTTGAACTGTCACTCATCCTGGAGTACAGTGGTGCAATCACAGTTCACTGTTGCCTCAAACTGCTAGGCTCAAGCAATCCTTCCACCTCAGCCTGCTGAATAGGTGGGACTACAGGCATGCACCACTGTGCCTGGCTAATTTAATTTATTTTTGTAGAGACAGGGTCTTGCTATGTTACCTAGGTTGGTCTCAAACTCCTGCCCTCCAGAAATACTCTCCCACCTTGGCCTCCCAAAGTGCTGGAATTACAGGTGTAGGCCACCATATCCAGCCAAGAACTATATCTAATCCTGATATTCCTCCTCCTGGAAACCTAGTAGACAGAAACAAGAAAATAAAAGTAAATCCCAACCACTAGGAAACTGAGAAAATGAACAAACTCCAAATTATTTGGAGATGTGGCCAAGAGCAAATGAAAGAACAGAATATGTGTGGAAGTCCCAGTGATGCTACAAAGAAAAAAAACATGAGAAATGTCCAGTCCCGGCCTGGCGCGGTGGCTCACACCTGTGATTCCAGCACTTTGGGAGGCCGAGGCGGGTGGATCGCGAGGTCGGGAGATCGAGACCATCCTGGTCAGCATGGTGAAACCCTGTCTATAGTAAAAGTACAGAAAATTAGCTGGGCATGGTGGCATGTGCCTGTGATCCCAGTTACTCAGGAGGCTGAGGCAGGAGAATTGCCTGAACCCAGGAGGCGGAGGTTGCAGTGAGCCGAGATCGCGCCATTGCACTCCAGCCTGGGTAACCAGAGCGAAACTCCGTCTCAAAAAAAAAAAAAAAGAAATGTCCAGTCCCCTGGGGAGTAGACCATATCCTGAATGAAAGTTTCTGTGAGCAGGAATGATGTGAAAAGGAGGTAGCAAAAGGCTGCCTGAAGATATCAGAGGGATTCAAGGTGGCAAAACATATTGGCTGTGTTCTTTTTGTTAAAACAGCTTTGTTGAGATGTAATTAACATACCATACAGTTAAGCCATTTACAGTGAACAGTTCAATGGCTCTTAGTATATTCACAAATACATGCCACCACAAGTCAATGTTAGAATATTTTCATCACTTCAAGAAGAAACTCTATCCCCTGGCCTCCCCACTGCCACACTTGCCCCATGCTTAGCCTTAAATAATGACGAATCTACTTTCTGTCTCTTCTCTACAGATTTCCCTGTTCTGAACTTCCATATGAATGGAATAACATATGTGGACCTGCTACTGGCTTCTTTCATTTAGCATCAAGTTTCAAGGTTTATCCAAATTGTAGCATGTATCAGTACTTCATTCCTTGCTATGCCTGAATAATATTTCTGCTGATGAATAGACTATAGTTTGTTTACCCATTCTTCTGTTAATGGGCATTTGGGTTGTTTCCACCTTTTGACGATTATTTTTAAAATGCTGCTATGAACATTCATGTAAAAGTTTTTGTTTGAATATCTATTTTGTAGTTTCCAGAGTATAAGTTTTATTTTATACATAGAAGATCATGTTATCTGCAAATAGAGATGTTCTTTCTTCTATTTCAATATTTTCTCCAGTGTATTTTATTTCTTTTACTTGCCCAATTGCCCAACATTACCAATGTTAAACAGAAGTAGGGATCCTTGTCTGGTCCCTGATCTTAGAGGGAAAACATCCAGTCTTTTTCCATTAAGTATGATGTTGGCTATGAGTTTCTCCTAGATATCAGATTGAGGAAATTACTCTTTATTCCTAGTTTGTGGAGTATGTGTGTGTTTTAAAAAATCATAAAAGGATATTGGCTTTTGTCAAATGCCTTACCTATATCTATTAAGATGACTGTGTGATTTTTGTTTTTTTTTCTATTGATATGATGTATTACATTAACTGACTTTTGATGGTGAGCCAACCTTGCTCTTGGGATAAATCCCACCCAGTCATGTTATATAATTTATTTTAGATGTTATGAAATACATTATTTATTTTAGGTGTTACTGGATTTGGTTTGCTAGTACTTTGTTGAGGATTTTTACACCCATATTCTTCTGAGATATACTTTGTCTGGTTTCAGTATCTGGGTAATACTGGCTTCATAAAGTGGGCTAGGGATTTGGCTGTATTCCTTTTTT